TGTATTGTTGAGTGCTAACGGAAAGAAATTATTCGTTTTGCTTTTATGACTTCCAAAGAATTAGTCGAAATACTTCGAAATATTATAAACGTGTGGTTCTAGGGTCAAAGATTGTTTGGCATAGCCACGTGAGGTCGCATCTGTTGTCTTGGTGTTGTTAGTAGCATTGCTAGACTTGCGCTTAAGCTCCCCCCCCCCTCCCCTTCCCCCCGCTTCCCCCTCCCCTCGACTCTTTATCGAATTTACTACTCTGTTTTTGGTTTTTGATCCTTTTAATAGCAGGCTGGTGCTAGCGATTTTCTGGGAGGGAGGGGAGGAGGGCTCAGATTGCATTCGTTTTGCTTCCGAAGTTAGTTCTTGTTCGATTCTACATATTTCCCAGCTTTTAATAGATTTTTTGGCCACTCTTAATCAGTAGTGCTAAAATAGGCATCAAATTTCATTGCACCGGTATTTACCTTATTAAAGGTTGGAAAGAAAATATCAGGTGAAGAAGGAAACAATGAAAAGGAAGGAAAGGATAATAAAATGGGAAAGGAATCTAAAGAAATATTTGTTATAGGTAGAAAATGTTTCGATCCATTAAGTTGTATACATTTCGTACCGTTACCACAATTGGACCTCGTCAGTACGACGATTGTGGTAACAAAATAATTTAGTGAGGTATAGAATTAATTTTAATATAAAAGAAATGTAAAACAGAAGAAAGTCATGAGTTGACATTACAGGTCATGATTTGTTATGGAATGTCACCTGCGCATATTTACGATTTGGCCTGCCACATGCCCCGGAAGAATTGATCAAAAGTTTGGCTTGGAAATTGATCGATGATGAACAGCTGGCCAGCCTAGCCACTTATTTGGGCATCAATAATCTCATTCGTACCGCTGAATTCCCACCATCGACCAATTCCTTGTGTAGCGCTTTCAAAGCACTCGTTGGTGCACTCCCTCAACAAAGGTAAGTCTTTTATCAGCAGTAGCAGCGGCAGCAGCAGCAGCAGCAGCAGTAGTAGTAGTAGTAGTAGTAGCAGCAGTAGCAGCAGCAACAGCAGTAGCAGCAGCAGTAGTAGTAGTAGTAGTAGTAGTAATAGTAGCACTGAAATAAGTCTGACTGGAATGATAAGTAGCAGCCATTAGAAGGCCGAATTATAAGTGGACGGTCCAAATGGAGCGGCCGAAGTGAGTTAAATTGATAAATAATTTGCGGCCTTTGGTGAGCCGAACCGTAATTTCTGAAATAAACGGCCAGTCCAAACGATGGAAAATATGGGACGGCCATAACGGGTGTTTACCTTCTTTATTTTGGGCCTCTCATCACGTCGCTCTATGTAGTCATCTACTACATTGTAATGCTAACTTAATTTGTACCGTAGCAGAGAACGTAGCTATCGGTTGAAATCAGTAGTTTATCTCAGTCAGCGAGGTAGCTTTTCCTCGACAATGATCGTTGATTTGTTTTATTGGTAAATCGATTCGTGAATGTAAGCGAATCGGCGATATTTTCAGATTTTTTCTGAGGAAATCATGAAAAAAATCGTAATCATTGTTTTTGGCGGCTGATTACTGCTCAAATTTATTACCTCTTGAGCTAATTCCAGTGGTTTCTGCTTTTTAGTGAATCAAAAATATGGGTATTTGCAAAATAACAGGTTTCTAGTGTTTCGTAGTAGGCATTAACTAGTTGTTTGTCTTGAAAAAATAACTGAAAATTCTCATCTTTAAAAATGAAAAAAATTTACTGTTGCTGTTGCGCCAGTACTTTAAAGGGCATGGACTTTCTTCATAACATAGGACTGTGCACTGCCGTATTGGCAGTAAAGTGAATTTTTCTTTTTCTAAAGCATACGAGGAGTTTTCATGCTCCCGCAGGCTGTTGCTGTTATTTTATTATTAGAAAATAAGTCAGAACACTTCCAGGCCAATAAAATAAACCTGAATTACAGTTGTCGCTGGGTGGAGTTCTAATTTTCTCAAAAAATGTCAGATGTCAAGTCGAACCGCTATCATTCGTAACACTGGACTCAAGTACATCTTCATTTACAGTTGCCTTGGCATCCTTGGTTTATTTAATCGCTATTATAGAGCTGCTGCACTGATCCGGAATGTTGTCGTTGTGCAATTGGCGGATTTGGATATGGAAGAAGTATTCCCACTTGCAGAGCCACTACGGGTGCTTCAGTGTTTCATGTCGGCCAACGGTTGTGATGAAGTGGAACCACGTCTGCTGCATTCGGCTGGTGAAATTAGCGCCGAGCCAATATTTATTGCTGGAATCTATGCAAATAAGAAATTGATTGGCAAAGGTATATGTTGTGGGGCCTTATCAAACTGTAATTGGTTAATAATCACTTATTTTTACGGATAACGTAAGTGTCGTTTTGGATTACGCCCTGTACTGATTTTCGTGGATTTGGCTAATTGTTTTTATGAGTACCGTACATAGCTTATTTCAAAGAATCGAGGACTGTTTAAAATTAGA